GTCTTGCCGTCTGTTTTTCTGAGTTTCACGTATGCGATTGATGTTAAATTCTTCCTTTCAATGTGAATTCCCCTGAACTCTCAAATATAACTACTTTAAAAAATTAGTGAATAGGGCCAGAAAATGTAATAGAAATCCAGCAGATGGTAGACCAAGGACGGGAATTTTTTGGAATCCAGTCTGCAGCCTGAGTGAGGAAGGCACTGAGCAGTGAACCCAGGGCCTCCCTGGACCGCAAGGTGGCTGGGTCGAGATAGCTACGGTTGCCAGACTTGGCAACCTGGCTGAAGAAATATAGGTCACCTAGCTATTGCAGAAAGCATACTTAGACTCACAAAATAGTGTCTGTGTGAAATTCAAATTTAACTGGACATCCTATATTTTCTCTGGAAGATCAAGCTACAGCCCAAATGATTTTACTATCTTTGAACCTGAAATTAGTGGCTCTGGTGCATTTTGAAAACATAATTACTAGCCTGGGCTGGCTTATTGCAGTAAACAAGCAGATTAGTTAAGGCCACGAGGAAACCGGTGGTCGGTTGCCATCTAGTGGGGAGACTGTGGTAGTGCAAGGGTGAGCTGGGAGGGGAGACTAACTTTGTGGGGTCTGTGGAGGCCAATTGGTGGTAGAGGGGACTGGTCCCGCCTTGGGAATTTGCTCCCTCACTCCAGCTGAACTCAAAAAGAGAGTTAATTGAGAGAAAAGCAAATGAAAATACCTCAGAGGATGTGAGCTACTGAAGATTCTACGGATGCAATTGCAGAAAATTATGAGGGCATAAGAGTCGTCCAAAAGGTAGCACTGTGGCTACAAACTCAGACTGTGGAAGGTCTGAAAAGACATCAGAGTTACAGGAGACACACCGAGATTCCAAGGATAAAATCTCAAAGCCCAGGTGACGCTCCATGCCAAACACCAAGGAGAACACTGGCCACGATACTAATACAACCAGACTTGCAACAGGGAAAAGATAAAAGTGCTTGCTTGAGGCAGAGTAAATGTCACCCTGTAATGCACAGAGAAGAGACAATGGGCTCCTCTTAGCTCTTCTCCAAAAATGAAAATCTGCTAGAAATTAGGTGTTGAATACAATATATAAGATCTCAAAGCCAACACGGAAGACTTAGAGCTGATTTAAATAATTCTACTTTTCCAGAGCAAAACAGGAGTGTCTCTGAGAGTTAATAAGGACAATTATCCTATTTTTTTTAAAAAAGATGATATGTAGACTTTAAAGAAATTGAGTTAATGTGAAATTCTCACATTTCTAGATTGTTGAAAGACGGTTTGTGAACATTTAGACTTAAATCACAATAGACAATAGACAAGTCGTGCCTAATCATCTCCTTTATTAAAGGCTGTTAGGCTTATAAGGATGTTAGTAGAGAACTAAAAAGAGAATGTGATTTGATTTTAGTGAGCAATAAAACGGTTTCCCTCCAAATTCTTATGGGTAGAGTCGGCAACGTCTGGTCTCATATGATAATCTAGGGAAGGTGGATTTTTCACTATGCTAACTTTCTATTCTAGTCAGTATTTACTAATGGGGTTATTTCAAGGAGAAATGTCAACCTGTACTAATTCTGTCTACTAATTATCATTGACTTGATTATAAAATATACAAAAACACACTGATGAAATTTCCAGAGAACCAGATTGCAACAAAAATGGCTGATTCCCTGTGAGAACGACCAGTCGTCTTAACAAGCTCCACATGAGCTAAAATTAACCAAATAAAACTGAACAGCCAGTATAAATCTTGCTCAATTTAGATGCAAAATGCCACTTCTCTAAATCCAAAATGAGAGAGAATGTCTTCAAAATAGCTTTTATTAAAATGACTCAGAGGTCTTAGTGGGCAATGTATTTATTCTGGATTAAGAATATGAACTGGGCCTTCCCTGGTGGCGCAGCGGGTTAAAGCACTGCACTGAGAAGCTTAAGCCACTTCCGCATGAGTTCGATCCCCGCCTGCCCCAGAGGGGACCACATGGCGCGGCAGACCTCTCCTGACCCGCCCGCTGCTCCCCTCAGCAGTGTGCTTCGTCAGTCAGCCTATTCTGCTCCCCACTGTCTCTGGTGAATCCTCTCACCCCACCTGCACCTCTGGCCTGTACCCCAGTTCGGTATGAATAAATCAATCTTAAAAAAAAAAAAAAGAATATGAACTGGCTTGAAAAAAAAAAAAAAAAGCCTTTTCTCCTCCAGGCAGTCTTAGGAGGTCAGAGTGCCCAGAAAGAGCTAACTAGACCCCCACAGGGGAACATCCATCCATGAAGCTCATTTGGAGAGAGGAACCTCTCACTGTACCTCTGAAGCACTGTTCCCTACACCCTGAAACTATATACAATATTATAAACCACTGTTACCTCAATTTAAAAAGAAATTTGTAAGGAAAAGAAATTAAAAGGCAGCATCTAGGGCTGTACAGAGGCGGAGACAGAACCCCAGTCGGAGTTTGGAACATCATCTATACAAGGCCCAGAAGACCTCAGACTTTGCAACACTAGATTTGGCCTTCGTAGCCACTGGAAAGCAAGAGTCAGCTGAAGCAGACCCCGCCATCCTCCTGGCCGAAGAGCATCTTAGTTCTGAGGCTTTCAAAATTCCTCTGGGCTCTTGGGGAAGGAAGTTGGCGCCACCCTGGCAGCCCCCACCTGGTCGTCAGACATGGGGTGGGGAGCTTGGGGGGGGATGATTCTCTCCTGTAGGGCTACAGAGAAGGAGATTCTGCTGCCAGGAGGCTGGGCTTGCAGGCTGCTGAGGGGTCCCCTCTCCCCTGACCCCCCTCAGGGCGCTGTGCTTCCAGGGAGTTTTCGCCATTTTCTCCTTTGCTCTATCTTCATCCTTTGTATGTGTGCTTCTAGAACTGGGGTGCAGGCCAAAGGTGGGAGGGGGGAGAAAGGATTCACCAGAGACAGTGGGGAGCAGAACAGGCAGATCTACGAAATCCATGGTGCTGAGGGGAGCAGAGGAGAGACAGGAGAGGTCTGCTGCGCCCTGTTAGCTCCCTGGCTGGGCCTCGAACTCAGGCTGCTGCGGTGCCTGCGCTGAGACTTGGCCCCAAGCCACCAGGAGGCCTCTTTCATTCTTGATTCTCAGTGGACATCTGTCTTCAGTGAACTGGTTCTACCTCTGGCTTCAGGTCAAGGCCGAAACAAGCAGCTCTCTGCACACGGGTGTCCTTCCTGCCCCCTGGCGTCCACTGGGCAGCCCCGTCCCCGACCTCTGGAGAGCCACTGTCTCCTCGGCACGCCCCCAGCGAGGGTGTGCTGTCTCAGCAGAGGGTGTCCAATCTGCCACCCCAGCTCCTGCTCCTCTGTGCGGGGCCCACCTGGTGCACTCGTGGCCAACTGACGGCCTCATTGTCCCCCCCACAGCCACGCCAGGGGCCCCCTGGGCCTGCAGCCCATCTCTTACACTCCATTTCCTGCAGTTCCTGTGCTTTCCCAGGGCCCCGCCAAACACGCCCCGGGAAAGCATGCGCCCCTCTCCCTCCACCTGGGCTGTGAAGGTCAGTTCTGGGCCTGCTCCCAGCCCTCCCCCACGCCCCTGGGCCCTCCACTCAGAAGGGGCACCCTGCCCCAGGCTTCCCGGCCTGCCTCTCCATCTTACCTGGCCCTTTGCGCCCGAGCCCAGACACCTCCTCCCCCTAACTGCTCCCCTTCATCTGCACCCCACGGATCTGTGTGGCCTCTCCTCCTGATTCTTAAAGCTGCCTGTGTCTTAGCGTTCTTCCCCTCCCTCCCTCACTCGCCTGAGACTGGTCTTCAAGATCTGGCCAGCAGCTCCTGCTCCCCCCAGGCACCTCCCTCTGCTCTCTGCCCCCTGCTGACTGGGTCTTCCTGTGGGTACATGCTCAGGCCCCTGACTGCACCCTGTTTTGTCTCTACTTCTCTTGCCACCCCTTGGCCACTGGTTACTCCCCCGCGGCAGCCCTGCCTCCACCCGCTCTCACCAACACCCTCACACCCTCCATCTTCCAGTCCCCAGCTCTCCGCCCTCCCTGCTCTTCCTCCCTGGCACACCAACGCGGAGTCTCAAGCCGGACGCTCCTTAGTGGCCCCCTCACTGAAGGTGTCGCCACGCCAGGCTGGCAGCCGGAGGCCTCGAGCTGCTCGAGCTCACGCAGGAACCAGGATGCGCCAGCCTGGAATGGGGGACTCATGGCGCACCCCCGGCCTCTCCCACACCACTGCCCACCCGGCAACCTGGATGGGTGCTGGCCCAGGTGGGACCAGTGAGTGCATGAGGGGCCCAGCTGCTGCCCATGAGAGTCACTGGCTGCCCTCGGGGCACCCAGGATGGGGAGCCGCAGTGGAAAAGGACCCTGCATCCTGGCCAGGGTCACCCACGGCTGGACACTGGGGCTGCGTGCCATGGCCCTGAGTGGGCACGGCCACCTGCCACCCCCCTCTGAGTCCCCTCCCCAGGGAAAGAGGGGCCGGGGCGTGTGGAGGCGAGGGGAGCGTGTGTACATCCTAAGGGTGACACTGACTCGTAAAGTCATCGAACCATGTCAATTTGGCACCTCGAAACGGAGGGAAAACAAGCCTCAGTTCATGACCCTGAGCCGTGATCCAACACGTGTGGCGCCCCCAGGCTCACAGGCCAGGCTGTCTCCAGGGAGCGCGGGGGGGCGCAGGGCCAGGCCCCACAGAGACGGAGCCGGGCCGCGGGGACTCCGGGAGGGGCGGCCTTCTTCACTGGGACGCGCAAGGCACACGCAGAGACGCCCAGGTGAGTATTTACTGTTTACAGTGGACACCGGCACACCTGCCGGTCAGGAGAGGAAACAAGGCAAATCGCCACATTCTGGGGTGACCCAGCTCCCCCTTCCTCAGGGCCACCCTACGGAGGCAGGATGGAGGCGGAGGCCAGGCATCGTCCTGCTCACACACGTGTCCCCCCAGGGCCGTCATTGAGGCCGCAGCGCCCCTCACACTCCGGCGGGCCGACCTCTCCCACGGGGCAGCCCCTGCCCCCCTGGGCTCCAGGACTAGGGGCCGCTGCTCTTCTTGTCTTCCCCTCGGGACGCCTCCGGGCCCGAGGGCTGCCCCTCCGGGGAGGCCGCCGGCCGCTGCTCCAGGGCCTGGACGAGCGAGGGCCCCGCTCCTTCCGTCAGCCGCATCACCCCAGGGGACGGCTGCCTGCTCACATAGGGCGCTGGAAACAGATCCCCAAAGTAGCTGTCCCTGCCCTGGGGGTGCCCCACAGCTTGTGGGCAGAAGGGTCCAGGGAAGGACAGGTCTGGCAGGCAGGGGTCACTCCAGGGGCCTGCACCTGGGAGTCAGAGAGTGGAGGAAAGATGAGATAAGACAGGGAGGGGGGGCAAGCAGCACCCCCACCCCCAAATGCAGGGAAGGATGGGGGAGTGGGGCGAGGCCTTAGCACAGGAGGTGCCCCTTGGGGCAGGCGAGACCCCGACTTGGGGTCTGGCGTGGGCTGGGTGCCAGGCAAGAGGCTGGGACCCGCTTGTCACGTCTCTTCCCCTTCCACTAGAACCTAGTCAAAGCCACGTGGCTCCCGGCCAGCCGCCAGGACGCTCATGCCGCCTCCAGTGGCCCAGCAGTCGCTGGCTCTGAGCCTTGCCGCACCCCCATGGCGGAGTCCCGGCCGACCCGGACAGCGGCTGAGCTGGCCCCTGGCCACTTCCCCCTTGGCTCTGCCATGTCCAAGACGCAGGAGGAAGTAGAGCTCCCCCAGGCTGGGGGCGCTCATGCCCGCCCCGCCTGCCCCGACCGCCCCTCCTGCCCCGCCGGTGGTCCTGCCCCCGCCCCGGCTCCAAGGGCGCCTTCCAGCCTCACGCACCCAGAGGCCCAGCTGGCGGCTGCAGCAGGAGGGGTCCCGGCGCGGCCCCCGGGAAGGGGGCCTGTGACACGCCGTAGGGCAGCGTGAAGAGCGCATCCTCCAGCAGCGGGAACGCCTGGGCGCTGGGCAACGGGGAGGGGAAGGCGGGGAGGTCCTGGAACGGGGCCTGCGGGGGCTGCGTGCCCGCGAAGGGCCCCGGCGGGGGGCCGTGCTGGTAGTCGCGGGGCTCCAGCCCCTCCAGGTACGAGCAGGGGTGCGGCGACGCCATGCTGTGGGAACAGGGGAGGCTCACGCAAGCGGCCGGTGCGCAGCTCCCACGGTGACCACCGCTGCCCTCCCGCCGTCCCCTCCTGTCCGGTCCCCACCTTTTTTGTGCTGCCATGATCTCCTGCCCTCGCGGCTGCTACCCCTGGCTCCTCTCATCAGCCTGCGGTCTTCCAGGCTCCATCTGCACCCCAGCCCATGGCGACTAAGTGGCCCCCCCAACAGGTGCCATACCTGGGCCCCCAGGGGTCATCCTTGAGGCTGCCGTCCCTGCCAGGCGTGTCCAGCATCAGAGGCAGCATTTGTGGGCCAGGGATGGGCCCAAGAGGCAAAGGAAAGTTGGGTCTTTGGACAGGAGGGGGGCTGAAGAGTGGTGGGGTCACCACCATCCTCTGAGCACCCTCACTCTGTTGCATGGGGGCTGGAGTCTGGTCGGATGTTAGCAACAGGGGGGGTTCTAGGAGCAGAAGCCAAGAGAGCAGTTGTGAGGGTCGGAAAATGGGGGTGGAGGCAGGTCTGGGGTGCTGGCGTGCACGCCAGGTCCTCGTGAACAGCCCCAGCATCGCCTAGTGCGCCCCCCGCCCCAGGGCCCCTCCCCCTCCCCAGCCCGCGGTCAGGTGGCCGGCGCACCTGGGAGGACGTCCAGACGGGGTCCCGGAGAGAAGGGGCTGGGCTCGGGGGCCCTGGGCCCAGCAGGCGGGAGCTCAGCTGCGGAGCTGGAGGCAGAAGGGGCCACGGCTGTGGCTGGGAGGTCCCCTGGGTGGGGCGCGCCTCGCGCAGGGCAGGGCCCCCCACGCGCCTGCCCGCGGCAGTGGCCGTCCCTGACCCCAGACAGCCAAACCCCTCACATTCCCCAAAGCTAGACTCCACCTTCCCACATTCTCTCCGCTGGGCCCCAGGACCCCTGCGCCCCATCTCCAAGGCCTCCAGGCTGATCCCCCCTCCTCCCGCAGGAGGGGACACTCACCCGCGGTGCCCGCTGACCGCGCCCTGGGCAGAGCCCGCAGGAGGTGCCTTCTCCTCCCTCCCACTCAGCTTCTCCACTTTGCGCCACTTTGCCCGGCGGTTCTGGAACCACACCTGGGGGAGGGGGAGACGGCAGCCGGCGGGGCTCAGGCTGCCTCCCGCGTGGGGAGGTGCGGCCGCCCCCTCTGCAGCGGCCTTTTTACAGAAAGGCCCAACTAGACACCTTCGGGGCGTTTTTCCCTGGCCTAAGCGGACCCTGGAACAGGTGGACTCGACGGGAACCCCCAACTCCCGAAGACGCGGCGCCGGGCACCTGGGGTCTCCTCCAGCCTCCCCCCCAACACAGCCCCTTACCATGATGCGTTGGGGGGTGACCCCCACAATCTGGGAAATCTCCCGGCGCTTGTCACTATCCGGGTAGTGGTCCTCTTGGAATATCCTCTCTAGCTCCTGCAGCTGGTCTGGAAGGAGGACGCCGGCGAGGTTGACACCGAGGGGAGCTGTGGCTGCGGGGGGGTGGTGGTGGGGGGCGCCCCAGCCCAGCGCCTTACCAGAGCCAGGCACCTGAGCTCCCTGTGGGGGTGCAGCCTGCTCTCTCGTGGGCTTTGGGGTGTGGCCCTGCCAGGGACCAGGCATCACGCTCAGGGCTCCTGGGGCTGGTTCCAGAAGGGCCTCCCACCCCCCACCACTTCAGCTGCCTCTCCCCTTTGGGCTTACCTGAGCGGTAGAGGGTGCGAGTCTTTTTCCGGATGGGGCAGGTCGCCTCTGGTGGTCTCTTCTTCCGGTCTGAGTTTGTCCCATTCCGGCCCAAAGTGCTGAGGAGGTTGGCCAGGTGGCAGGGCCCCCGGCCTGACCCGCAGGGCACAGCGGGGTTCTGGGTGGCCGGGGCCGAGCGTGTGGCCCCAGGAGAGGCGGCTGCGGCCGCGGCAGGCCGTCTCTGCTTCCCGGGAGAGCAGGGCCTCTTCCTGGGCCTGTCTTCTGGTGCGTGGAGGGCACCTCCTTCCCCGGGAGGCTGGGCCCTGGGCAGGGCCAGGGTGGCCTGTTTGTGGGGCCCCCCCGAGCCCGGCGGCTGGCACCCTCTGCCAGCATCAGCCCCTGGGGCTCCTGCAGGGGCCTCTGGCGGCTTCTTCTCTCCAGAGACAGCACAGGAGAGAGACGGCGCCTCGCCTGGGGTGCCCCGAGGGCTGGGGGCTGCACTCTGCCGTGGGTCTTCATCCTTGGGCCCCGCAGCCGGCTGGCCTTGACCTTCCTGACCTGTGGGGACCCAGCACCTCCTGGGCTTAGCTGCCTCCTGCTCCGCGTGAGTTTCGTGGTTGCTCTTGAACGTCGCTCTGCCCACTCATCACAGGGGTGGTAGCTCCAGGCCTCCCCTCCTAACTGGGCTAACCGGGGGTCCTGCCTGGAAACCCCTAAGCAAGCAGAGGCCCCTTCTGGGGCTCCGCTCATGTGTTGAGAGCAATGCAGACCGTGGAGGTGGCTGGCTTTCCCCAGGCACCAAGCACGTGATGCTGAGGCACAGGTGTCTGCTCGGGCAGGTCTAAGGCATAAGTGTTGGGGGGCGGGGGTGAGACCTGCTTCTTCTAAGACCCGGGTAGGCTGGCTGCTTAGGGCAAGACGAGGCTCCAGAAGGCCAGGGACACCCGGGAAGGCCCATCCTCACCTTCCAGACAGCTCTGTCCCAGCCCACACTTCTCACCCCCATGTGCAACTCTCCTTCTTCCCAGGGCTGCTGGGCATGGCCAACCTGTTCTTAAAGAGTGGCCCAGGGAACACGGAGAGCCTTGCCCGCTCTCCCCAGCTGCTTCTTCACTTCTGCGTGTTCTGGCCCAGCAGGCCCTGCGGTCCCGTGCCATGGCCTCTGGGCTAGTCCCGGCACCCCAGGACCTGGGTCTGACCCGGGAAGGAGGTCAGAGAGCGGAGTTTGCCCGAGTCCAGGCACACGCCCCATCCCTCCCCGAGTGATCACGTCACGGGTCCTGCCACCCTTTACGCAGAACCCCAGTGCCCTTGGCTCCCCGAGCTTCTGCTTCACGTCCAGGAGACTGGGGTGCTTACAAATACATGCTGAACAGTTCCTGAGAACTACTGGTACTTTAATGAAGACTGCCTGAGGCAGACCGCCCTGGAGTGGTCTCCAGGAGTGAGGTGTGGCTGTCTGGGCCCCCGCCCTAGGGAGCGCCTTGCTGGACACAGCGGCCCTGACTGGGGAGGCCACCAGGGCCGGTGCGGGGCAGCCGGCCTCTGTGGGGGTCGCCTGGTGCCAGCGGTGAAAAGACACAGATTCCTTTCACAGCGGTTGAGGGGAGCCGGTGGCCTAGCAAACCGGGTACACAGTAGGTGCTCAAGCTATGCAGTGTGGGAGTGAAAGACCCTGGCAAGGAAACCAAGGGGGTCAGAAGCCCGACTGGAAGCTCCCGGGACTCCTGGCCCAGCCTGGAGAGACCACACCCCAAGGATGGCGCAGGGGCCTCCTGGCACCCGAGGGCCCAGCCTGGGCCCACTCAGCCCCACAGGCACGGACCTGTCAGAGGCCCCGGCTACCCCAGTCCCCCCAGCCAAGCCCCCTGCCCCGG